TTTTTATTATACTTTTCACAATTTTGGTTTTTTATTTTACTTTGCTGGAATTTGTTGCTCTTTTGAAATATTTTTTGCTCTAAGCAGGTTTCTATTAAAATTTAATATATATAATATGATTATATATATTAAATATATTTAATTAATAATATGTTAATACGTTGAAAAAAAAACAGTTCATTAATATTATTGAGAAATTAAGCAAGATGAATTTTAATATAACAAAATAATTTTTATTTTTGTCAACATTATTTTATTAAAATTTTTCATTAATAAACAATTAATTAATAATATACATTAGTGTCTAACATTATAAAAGTAACAATAATTAAAACCTATCTGATAAAGAACTAACTGATAAAGAAGAATTTTACAAGCTAACATGGTTGGGAAAAATTTTACAAGCTAACATGTTAGGGAAGAATTTTACAAGCTAACATGGTTGGGAGGCCAATGTTTTAACCTCCAAAACAAATTTGGAAGCAAGCTTCGAAAAATTTTAATTAAAAATACACACTATAATTTCCAAATGCATCAACACCTATCAGAAATAAAACTGGTACAAAATATATGATACCACTTTTCTAGTGTAACAAATTCTAAAATAATATAAACAAGTCAAATATAAATTTAGTTACATAACTAACCTTTTTATACACACTATTAATATTATTTTGTTTAGCTTATAATGCTTTATATAAAAATTTTAACTATTTTTTAAATATATTATTTAAATATTAGTTAAATATTAATTAAATGATATTAGAAAATTAATAGATAGAATGTAATTTAAAATTACTAACCGTATATTGACAATTACTGATCAGATTTAAACAATACAATAATCCATATAACCATTTTTTACAGTTTAAAAACTAAAAGAGTTATAATGTACATCTGGTAATATTTTAAAAACTATACAAAAATTACCCATAACCTATTTTATTAAAATGATCCATTAGCATTTTTAATCTTGTTTAATTCTGTTGTATTAACAGAATTTTTAAAAATCTGTTAATAGTTGTTCATTTTGTTTTTAATAAGAAATTATTCTCTTAAATTAACAGATATATCCTAATTTGTTACTTTTTCAAACAGATTGTTTTCAGAGTGTGTACGTATGTATGTATGTATGTATGTATGTATGTATGTATGTATGTATGTATGTATGTATGTATGTATGTATGTATGTATGTATGTATGTATGTATGTATGTATGTATGTATGTATGTATGTATGTATGTGTGTGTATGAATGTATATATGTATGTATGTATGTATGTATGTATGTATGTATGTATGTATGTATGTATGTATGTATGTATGTATGTATGTATGTATGTGTGTGTATGAATGTATATATGTATGTATGTGTGTATGTATGTATGTATGTATGTATGTATGTATGTATGTATGTATGTATGTATGTATGTATGTATGTATGTATGTATGTATGTATGTATGTATGTATGTGTGTGTATGAATGTATATATGTATGTATGTATGTATGTATGTATGTATGTATGTATGTATGTATGTATGTATGTGTGTGTATGAATGTATATATGTATGTATGTGTGTATGTATGTATGTATGTATGTATGTATGTATGTATGTATGTATGTATGTATGTATGTATGTATGTATGTATGTATGTATGTATGTATGTATGTATGTATGTATGTATGTATGTATGTATGCATGTATGTATGACTACTAACTTGTTAGGAAAAAAAAAACTTTAAAAAATAGTAACAGAATTATAGTAAAACAATTGTATCTATTATTAGTAGACCTCACTTGGAATATGCATAACCTTGTATTATTATTATTTACAATTTTTTAATTGTATGTATGTGTATTTATGTAATTTATCTAATCTATTCTACAAGTCATTATACTCAAGAGAAAGAAGAAAAGTTATGTAGTAATTGTGTAGTAATAGTTAATATAATAGTTTTTTGAAAAAAATTGAATTTGCACAAAACATTTTGTTTGCTGTAATTATTTCTACATCTGCATTATAAATTATGACATTATAAATTATGAAATGGCAAAAAACCTTAAGTGGCCCCTTAAGGTTTTTTGCCATTTTTAGGTTTGTATTAAAATGGTCCAAGCTGTAACTATGGTAGAAGAATTACCACAATGTATATTATAAAGTACTTTATTGGCAAATATGTTCAAAAATTAATTAACGTGTTATTACAAGAAAAAAATTAAACAAAACGGCCAGTATTACCCCATAACTTTAGGGCAATTGTGGCAGCCTGGTCAGCCCCAGTATAGTTTTTGTGGGCCCAGTCACCACATGCAGCACATGCTACCCACCATTCTTGGTTTTTACCAAATTCCCCACAAACCAAACAAATATCTGAAGACTTTTTGCTAGCCATCATAACCCCAAAATGAATCAATTTTTATTAACAAAAATAAAAACATATTTGCAAAAAATATAGAAATATTGTATTTCCATAATTACCCCAGATGCCATCAATCCCCCAACCTCCCCTAATTGAACATTTCACAAAATGATGTTTGTGCGACATTTTAACTATATTAATACTTTTCAAGAGTTTATGTTTTTTTCAATTAGAAACAAAAAAAAAAAAAAATCTTCTAATGAAGTTATCAAATTATGGAGATCATTTTAATACTGGCACTTAAATACTTATAAAAAAATTTTTAATTATATACTATAGGAAAACATTAAAAAGTTTTTTTGTTTTTTTAATAATAATAATGCGTTAACTGTAATAACTTAATCATTTTTTATTGACATTGTTTTAATAAAGATGTTTGATGTTGAGATAAATGATTTAGAAAATTATTAATATTTTTTTTGGAAAATTATTTTTGTTTGATTTTTTTGCAGTATTTAAAGTTGCTAAATTTTTTTCTTATATAGTTTTGACATTATACTGTTTTCTGATCTAGTTAATCCAGGAGGCTGGGCACCACCTACTGTTGTTCGCCAAATGTCAAAACGTGAATATCCCAAGTTTTTGCGAAAATTCAGTTCATTTGTGCAAAATGTTACTAAAGATAAGCCACTTATGTTGTAAAATCTGTTATTAAATGGTTAGAATTTAGATGAAAACAGATATGGATTAATATTGTATCCAATGGCTTAAGCAATTGTTTCGCTCTGAACTTAATAATGTTTTTGAACAAAGAAGACACTTAAAACCTAAAGTGGTTGTCGCTAAGTCACATGACTTTTGTTGTCATTATGAAAACTTCTAGACAAAAAATTGTTTTTTTTATTTTTATAAAATTGTCTGAAAGCAAGTTGTAAATATAAGTATAAGGACAAGTCAAAACAGTATTGATTTTCATTGAGATAGTATCTGTTATTTTCATAACAACTATTATTGTTACATCTAAAAATATTTATGAACATAGTATCGTTGTTTGATATTTGTTATGAAATATTTTAATTATTGATATTGCCAATTATTTTCATTTAAAAATTTATTTTGAGTTTTGACACTATTTGATTTTTCTATTTGTTTAAAATTCAATTTTTTAGGACATAAAAACGACACCTTTTATTCAATTTTTTTTCAAAATATATGTATATATTTTTAATGAGAACACTTACTCATTTTAATACTAAAAGGTCTATAATTCAAAAATTGACCAATCAAAATCATTTGCATTTGAAATTTTTTAATTTTATTTTTTCTTATAAAAAATAAGCCATTGTTATTAAAACTTCAATATATTTTGAAATTTATATTAACATATATTTATAAATTTTATTACATGAAACATCTAGAAATGCCAAATCTCTTTTCTTCAAATTCTTCTATTCTCTAATTTAAAAAATATTCTTGAAAACTGAAACTACTTACATTTTGTAATTTATAAGGATAATCTTCTAAATCTTTTTTCTCTAATTTATTGTCTTTTGTTTTTTATTTTCATGTAAAAAATTAACATAGATGTAAATAAATGTGTCAGTTATTTCTTCTTTTTTTTCTACAGTTTTTTTTTGTAGCAGTTGCAATATTTTGTTTTATTTAGCAATATATTATAATTTAATGTTTCTTGTTGTTATTTCTGTTAATTTGTTAAATGATTGTATTTATTTTCAAAAATTTTTCTACATAGTTTTAAATGATTAGTGTTTATCACTGGTAAATATAAAGTCTTTAATAATCACTTATTTGATTTCAAGTGTTTAATAAAAACTATATCCTTAAAGTTAATATGTTTCATAAACACTTTGTTGTGTTTACTAAAATAAAGTTTTATATTAACACTTGATTGTGTCAAAAAAAAGTGTTATATAAATAAATGCATATTTTTTAAATACCATTAGTTTTTTTTCTTGTGTAATTTTGTATTTAAGCAATTTTCACCTAATTAATAAGGTGTACTAATAAATAAGGCAAATGTTGAGTTATACAGTAAAAATCAAATTTTTTGGTTTTCAACTTTCCTAATTCTTTAGGAAGTGTAGTAACTACACTATACTAGTATTAGTCTTTTAACTTCTAGGTCCTTTACCTTAAACTAAAAGGGAAAGTTACTTACCAATAACCTAAATGCATTACTATCAATCTTTCATAATATTAGCAAAACTGTTATTAATCAAAATGAAAAGCTACACATTTTGGGTTTAAGTAAATATAAATGTGGAGTCGACACAGATGAGGTAAGGGAAAATACTTTATGCCGTCCTCAAACTGTTAGAAGTCAACAAAAAAAAATCCCGACCTCAAACACTTTAAGGTCGGGATTGCCGATTGCTGACCCTAATTCCGAGGGTTGGCTATTTCGATTACCAAAAGAGCAAATAGCCTTTTTTAACGTTTTGTAATATTTTGAATATTATAAATATATTTCTTTTAATGTTGCTTTAGCTTTATTTATATTTACTTTTTTTTCTATTATTAATTATAAATTATTTAATAATTATAAATAATTTATAATTAATAATGGAAAAAAAAATTTAAACAAAAAATTTATATAAAATCTTAATTTCATTTAAAATAAATTTTATGATAAGAAGTCAAATAAGACAATTTAATATGCTCAGTTTTGTACGTTCAATATTTTAATGATTCAAGGTTATTTTCATGATTTAGGTTATTTTCATTTTCATTTTTTTTCCAGCTTTATAACATGTGTTCCTTCAGAAAGGATAATATAATAAATCAATAAAAAACAAGTATAGATATGTTGTTTTTTGAAATTAAATTAGGTTTATTGTGTTAGACTGATGTATATTTAATATTGTTAATCAATTCTTTTCTGGTAAACCTTTAATATGAACTGCATTCAATCTTCTTATGGAGCTCGAAAATTGCTGTACTACCTCTGGATTTATTTGAAATAATATTTGATTTATCGTAATAATTTTTATGTTTTTGACTTTCCTTTTTTTTTTGTAGACTAAACCTTTTAAATAACCACAATAGTCTTTATCTCAAGACAGTTAGCAGGATTATCTGATAAACATGACATTTTTGGCATAATGAGCTGAAGCTCAGTCAGGCCAAAAGACTTAATTTCATCAGGATATTGTTCTCACAACCAAAATATTTTCAATGCCATCTTTTTTGTATATATTTTTTTAACCGGATAGCCAGATTACTTGATTACTGGTCTAGTCATGTCAAGATATTAGTATGGCTTGCAATTAATTTCAAAGAAATTAATTGCAAACCATACCAATAGCTTGTTTTCAAAAAACTTTTTCTTTTGTACTAAGGCCCAGGAAAAGATCACTTAGGATCACTGGAAAAATACTTATCATTCCCAACAATTTTGAAGTTGAACAAAGTTTTGTGATTAAAAATTAATTTCTTTAAACTTATTTTTTGCACTCATTTTTCACTTTAAAATAATTTTAAGTTTTCCTCATGTTGTTGAACTTTTACAGTAAGAAAACTTTTTTTTCAAACTTTTTTTTTAGTTTAATTTAGGTTCCCCAAAAAGTCCTAACAGTCTTATCACAAAGCACCATGGAAGATCATTTGAAAGGAAGTTCACAGCTCCTTCCTTAGCAATGTTATAAAACTTGCCCTAAGGTGGCATTGAACCACGGATCTCTAGTATCTGAGGCAAGCACGCTAACCACTGCACTATGGTGGCTCAAATAACAAAATTATTCATAAAAAATAATTATTTACTCTAAACAGGTTATTTCAATTGGCTTGCACACCATCAACATAAGTGAATATATAAATAATATATAAAAACACCTTATATATATATATATATTTTTTTGAATTTACCGCTCAAGGCTGAGAAGGCCACTACAGAGGAGGAAGCTACTTAAATGTGGTTATAACCCTCTCGCAATTCTATAACTCCAAAACACAAACCTTGACAAACAAGGCCGCTGCACAGAGAAACAAGTTGAGCGCTGTATTACCAGAGGCGTGGTACTTCCAAGTTCAATCCCCAGATCAAACTCAGAAGTTTCGCTTATGAAGCGAGCACTCTAGAACTACCGCTTATATGTATAAAACATATACAAATAAATACTTTTTTTTTGTAGTCACATTGTTTATATGTATAAAACATATACAAATAAATATTTTTTTTTTGTAGTCACATTGTTTAGTTTACTCAAACACAAAAACATGTTAATATTTAAACATTGCAAATAAGCCATTACATTTTTGAGAGAACACCCATTAAAACTTAAAAATGAAAATAACCTTTTAAATACACACACTTTTATATGCAATAAAATATTTAGTAAAACATAAATAACATTTTTTTAAATTTTTCTAAAGAATTTTATTTTATGATTCTTGCATTATATTTGAAAAAAACCTAAAAATATGAGTTGTTTGAATCTCAATGTTAATTATTGTAACAAAAGATAACATGCTTAAGTAATAAAAAAAAGTTAATTGTTTAATTATTTTTTAAGCAAAAAACAAGCATATTGAAGTTGAAATAATAATTTGATTGAATTTCACCATTTTTTACACACCCCTCCCCCCCTCCCTCAATTGCAAAAAGTGTTTTAATTTTTTTCTTACTTTTTTGTTGATTAATTATCAATTGTTTTGACTGATGTTAAGTTTTTTAAACTAAAAAATCCAACTGAAAACGCGGATTATTATCAGAAATAAATTCATTATAAAATATAACAAATTTATTATAATTATTCAGTAAATATTTAAAGTATAATGAAGTATGTATGAGTTTAAAGCTACATTAAAAAGTACAAACTTTAGCATCAACATTTATTTTTAAAGTGTCAAATTTAAGTGCTTAAGTAAATCCAATGAATGATTTTAAATTGCCTTGAAGTGGACAATACACATCTAATAAAATCCAAATATTTAAGTGCTTAAAAATTATGACGATTCAGAACTATAGTTCTAAATGGTCATAATTTTTATTTCATTCTTTTTTATTTCAGTTATTATCATTTATATTTTAGCCATTTATGCACATAAATAATACTCATTACAACTGATTCGTTTTGAATATACAAAATGTCTGATGCTAAAAAAAAAAGTTTCAAAGCAATTTTAGTTGGTGCAACAGGTGTCACAGGAAAGTATTTGTTGGCAGAGTTACTAAAAGTTAAGGTGTGATGAAATGTCTTTTAGATTCCATTATGTTTTTATTTAAAACATGAGTTTAACACAACAGTTTGTTTAGGAGTTTACTCATATAGTGACATTGGGAAGAAGAAAGACTGAAATTCCATATGATGTAAAAGGAATTAGTTTAGAAGATGAAGAAAATTCAGGACGTCTTCAACAGGTTGTTATTGGTAGGTATTTTTTATAAAAACATTAATAATAAGAATGATATTAACAATTATATTAAATTTTAAGCCTGCTTTAAATATACAGTTTAAATATACTTAGTATTCAAAAATGGGTTTTAAATCACATCAATTTAAATGATTGTTTAAATCAAGATTAAAATCAGTTAATGACGATTTGAATCTTTTTTAGCTGACTAATGATTTCAATCAAAATTTTTATTTGATTTTAACAATAAAAAGATTATTTAAAAACTTTTTTGCCATTTTAAAACAAAATAAAATTAATATAGCAAATATGGTATATTTACATTCTCTCCATCTAGAGCATCTTTTATTTTACCCCTTTCTTTATCAAACACTATTGGTAGGAGTTTGTCAGCTAGGTTTTTTCTTGTTATGCCACCTGGTCTCAATATTAGCATAAGTTCTTGGAATTATAGATGTTTAACTAATTGAAATGGTGAATTTTTTGCAAAAATCACTCTTGCAATGTGCTCATCAAGTGCGACTTTTGACAATCCTGAGTGTTGCTATGTAACATCAAATTGACTGATTGACTGAGTGTTGCTATGTAACATCAAATTGACTAATTGACTGGGACTATCAGTTTGAAATTCAATTTCTGAAATAAACATTAATTCAATAATGTTAAATACAAAAAAAAATATTATATAGTGCATGTTATATCAGCTTCTGCATTGTTTTTGTGACAACTTTATTTAAGTGTACTTTCATTCTTGCCACCAGATCCTGCAGGTCTTTTTTCTAATTCCTACATTCTGCTTTACATTCTTTTCCTCTGTTTGTTTCAAGCCTTTCAAATTTGGAGTTGGATCTTTTAGTATGTTTTAAACATTTTTGTTACTGCAAAAATATAGCAAGAGGTTCAAGTTGCAGTTTTTTTTTAAATATTAAAAAAATTTAATGCAATACAATTTTCAATATAATAAAATTCAGAAAATCTTCATACAGTGATAGTTTTGTGGATAGTTTTGTGGAGGCATTTAAAAGGGTTAAAAGAAATGGTTTTAAAATTCTAATTATGCTTCTGGTTCATTGAGTAAAAAAAAAAGTATGCTTCTGGTTCATTGAGTAAAAAAAAAGTATGCTTCTGGTTCATTGAGTAAAAAAAAAAGTATGCTTCTGGTTCATTGAGTAAAAAAAAAAGCATGCTTCTGGTTCATTGAGTAAAAAAAAAAGTATGCTTCTGGTTCATTGAGTAAGAAAAAAGTATGCTTCTGGTTTATTGAGCCATTACCATTAAAAAAATTTTATTAAAAAAATAAATTATTTTATTTAAATTAAAAAAATCAGATTTTTTTTGATTTTTTTAAAAAAAAGTTATAATTTTTTCCTACTCTGATTTTAGGTTTTGTAAAAAAAAAAAATTTATTGGGTTTACTCGTACAAAAACTTATAAAAAACTTTAAAAATATCTTATGGTTTTTTTTTTGTTCTTTTTTTTTTGAAAAATCACTAATTTGAAAAAGTTGCTTTTTTTGAGTTGTGTTGTTGAATTGTAATTTATAAACATTTAACAGGGTTTAATTGGATTATTTTGTAATTTAATGCTTTTTTTTTATATAAGTTTATTTGGTGATAAGTTTTTGGCCCTTTCCCGATTTGCAACTGATTCTGTAGCTATTATAAATATGACTACCCTAGCATAACAGGTAACATTAAAATATATTTTAACATGTTTACAGATTCTTTTTTTATTAAAAATTCATCAAGCTGAAGCTTTTAAAAACAAATTGTATATAGTGAATTATTTTTAATATATGCCAAGACATTAAACAGTCGTTTATGTGTAGTCAAATATACTTTATTTACCTTTCTTAGTTAATATCTGGTTCTGGTTCCTAATCAGTAAACATAATCAGCAGTCTAGTTATGTTTTTCGGTTTCTTTTTTAAAAAAAGCTCAAAAAATCCTTAATAGAGCGATCTTGCATGTCTTTAGGCAACCATGGTATTTAACGTGCTTGTGACTTGTTTAGTGTGGCGTGATGATGTTAGATTAGGCCAAAATACATGTTTACGATACTTAAGAAGATTTTTTACGTTTACGTTTTACGTTTCAATGACTTTCTCATACTTAAGAAGATCTTTTTTAGCTCTTCAAGTTAATACCAACTTATCTATACTTCATTGTGAAAAATAAAACTTTTTGATTGATTTTTTTTTTTTCATTTTTATAATCTATTAGATCCTAAATCACTAAGGTTTCGTGAAGAACTTTTTTAGAGTTTTTTAATTTGTGATCTTTGTTTTCAGAAGTTAGAATTTTTTTCTGCTGGCTGTGTAAATTATTTTTAAAATTAGTCCATCTCCAACTGGGTAGTATGACAAAACTATGGATGATTATTTTGCATATTCATTCATAGTTATGATGAAACATTATATTTCTATTACTTGTATTTACATATTTGTTATTTAAATTGTTGTATTGATCAAATAGGACCTTTATTTTTTTTTTGTAAAACACTTTGTACAAACACAAATATCTTCCAGGATTTAGGGTATTTGTATCAACAAAGTATAGATCACAAGCAATGATTGGAAAATGACACTCAAAATAGAGAATACATTTTGATTCACTCAGGTTATGTGATTGTGTGTTATTCCTATGTATTTATGTCATTTTTATGCTGGTTGTTTCATTTCTAAAATGATAAGTTTTATCATGCATTAGTTAGATGTGGAGAGATTAAGGCTATTGCATTTGACATTTCTAAAGCCAATGATAAAGTTTGGCATGCTGGACTTTTCCATAAGCTATCTGCTTACGGTGTATCAGGTAACATCTTTAAAATTATTGAATCCTCCTTTACTAATCGTAGTATAAAAGTTGTTCTTGATGGACAGCACTTTTCTTCATTTCCTGTAACTTCAGGGGTTCCTCAAGGTTCTATGGCCTTATACTTTTTTAATTTACATTAACGATCTCCACATCTAAGGTGGCATTGTTCACTTATTATTCTACCATTTATTCTTGTCTTAATAAGAAGCCAACACTCTCTGATTCCTTGGAGGGGGCATTTGAGCTTGGAAAGGATCTCACTTCTGTTGCAGCATGAGGTTCTCAGGTAAAATACTTCTCAGTAGTTTTTCTTTACTTTTCTGTTCATAATTTAGAAATTTTATGTGCTGTATAACTTGTCTAGCTCGCACACAATGTTTTAAGTTTAGTTAAGGGCTTATCCTCTCTTAAAGATTTTTTAGTTGACATAAGCATTTATGCACATTTTTCTTATATAATAAAATATTATATAAGCCAAATGTTTAATATATATTTAATCATTAAATATAATACAATAGTTAAAATAGCCAAGCCAATAATTGATGTTAGGTAAAAATCTATTCTTCGTAAATTTATTTTTCTCTTGAAATTGAAAAAGTATTTTTAATTCTTACAATTCTCACATCAAGAAATTTTTTCTTAATGAAAAAATTCTCTCAGTGGCTGGGTTACTTAAACTCAGATAAAACTCAATTTTTTTCATAATCACAATAGTTTAGATTTTCCTATATTAATAAACGGTAATGTACTTGATGAATTATATACTCTTATCATATAATTTGCAATCTTTTAAATTGTCTGTTAATCGTTATCTTGTTTTATAAACTTCATCTTTGCTCTTCTAGTAACTTCCAACTCTAATAGTGGTTGCTTGCAGCCTTATTAGAAATAAAGATGTTAAAAAAAAATGTACTACAAGGTTTTTATATATTTTTGGTATACACTGAGAAGTTATAAATAGCTATGTAAAGCTATTTTCAATTCAGTTTATATCTTTACTAGAACAGGTTGTTTAGTGATTTTTGAGCTAGTTGATTTACTATTTTTACAATTTAATTATTGTAATGTATATGATTCAAAGTTTTTACGAAAAATATGCAAATCTTTTTTAGAATCTTTATATTATTTAATAATCACATTAAAATTCCTCCAAAGTAAAACTTACACTCTCAGTCCCACTTTCTTCAAGTTTGCAGATCTTAAGCTATTACTTTATTATATAGTATATTGTGGCATATTTTTGCCACAAGACTGTTAAGCTATTAGCTATGCAGTCTTGTGGCAAAAAAAATAATTCAACATTTCCATAAAAATGTCATACTCATCAGAATTGATGCAACCAACTCAAGTAACTTTAATATTAGCTTTGACATTAAAGAACTACTAGATCTGTCTAAAAAAACTAGATCTGACTAAAAAAAAACCTTGCTGATACATACCATCCTTTAACAAACAAATTACCCCGCACCACCAGCATATTAGTTCTTAATACCGCCACCACTACAACCTATTAACTATTACTTCTACCTATTATCCTATATTCAGAAATACCTCTGTATTAATTGCATTAATGGCCTCTATATTCTTTTGAATATTGGGAGCTCTGCTACTTTTTCTTTACATGAATAAACTTTTTCCTCTTTAACTTGCGTTCTATGCTAACTTTAATTTAATATTTTAGCATTAGATAAAATTGTTCATTCTTTGCAATGCTACAAAATTTTAAAGATAAACTAAATGATTTTTTAGACATGGAAAATCTGAACAGTGAATCTGTTAAAAAGTACTTCGTGGGACAAGATGTATTCTTTACATGCCTTGGAACAACTCGAAAGGATGCTGGTTCTGCTGTGTGTATTATTTTAATGACATAAAAATTTTGGTTATAATATATAATATATATTTAGCATAAATTTAAGTTTAATAATTTATTATGTATATATCAAATCATATTATATTCTTTTTTTTTTCATTTATATAAATATTTTTCCCACATAGTTTATATTTAAAAATTCTGTTTATGAAATATTATTATAAATATAACTACTTTTAATAATCTTTCCTTAATATTGTGATCAATCAAAATGTACATGTTTTTTTTTGTTTATGTCAAAATCTAAAAAATTATCTTAAAAAATTAAAAACATTAAAAAAAATAAACATTACTAATAATGTTATATATTGAAATGTAAAACTTAATTTTTCAATTGTATGTTTCTATGTTAAATATTGAAATGCAATATAAAAAATAAAGTTCAGCAAGTTTTATTTTAGAATTTTGTTTTAGACACAAGTTGTTGTTATTTTTTATAAGCGTATAATTTTTGTTTAAATAAAAAATTACTTTGTTTTGCTTATTTTTTTGTCAGGTCTTGAATTATGGTTAATTACGAGCTGGCTATTTAAAAAAAAAAAAATTTGTTTTTAAAAAATGATTATTTGAAAATATACTCTCATTGCTTTTTTATAAAAGTAATAAAATAAATCTAAATCATAAAAATGAAACCAATTCAAATATATTTTTCATTGAACCTTTTTTCAATTCCCTTTCATTTATAATATTTTTAAAAAAGATATGATCATGGTAAATTTAAAATTTATAAACTTTCTAGTTTTTAGTTTCGTTTATCAACGATATAAAATTAAGACCAAGTAATTGATAGTATCAGTTTATCAGTTTTTCTCAACTAACCAATTGATAATTATTATCAATTAATTTAAAAACTATAAATTATTGGTCTAAAGTACAAAATAAAGAACATGAGATAAGTTTCTCAACTTTAAATATACTAAATTTCAACAACTAAATCAACAGAATATCAAGTAATTAATATTCTGTTAATAAAATGGTTGATGGTTAGTTTAATACTTAATTGATTTAATTGATAAAAATATTTAATTGATAAAGTATTTAATCAAATAATTTAATTGATTAACTAGTTAAACAGAATATTGTTTTATGCATCTAAAGCTGTGTCAATGAATTACCTGATAAATGAAATGAACCTGCTTAGTTTCTTTATTCACAAGTTTACTAATTTCAATTATGTTCATTTAAAGTATTAAAGAATATATTTTTCAGTAGGTGTTATTTTACTAAAATTTTTATTTTTTTTATTTTGTTTTGTTTTATTTTCACAGCAGTCAGTGGTCTAATGTTAGGTTTATGTCTAATGTGAAAAAATATTCAACAAAAAATTATAACCAGAAGGCCAATGATATTAGCAGTCAACTTGAGTAAGACATTAGCAATGTTTTTGTTACTCTTTAGGCATTTTTTGCTAGTTGGCATTATATTTTTATTAACAATTGGCATTTGCTGAGCAATAGATTTAAAAAGCATTTTAATTATCTCTCATTGTAATCTCTATTTTAAATTAGTTGAATGTTTATCAATTTATTTTATATACAGCAACTTCTTTTTTACAAATTGAAGAACACTGCTATGCATTTTAAAAAGCATAATATATTGTTTTTCTAAAAAAAAAATATAAAAAAAGCTTAAATGTAAAAACATTTAAGTTTTTTTTGGATTTAAGTTTATTTTTAAGTGAATTTATTTTAAAGTGAATTCTTTCTTGTCTATAAAATATAATAATGTAAATGATATAAATTTATTGTTAAAGTTTTTTAAAATTAGCATTTTTTTAAATTTTTTAAATAATTTTTTTTTCTCTTGTATATTTTTTTGAATTCTATGATATTTTATCTAGTTTATTTAATTCTCTATAAAGTTTTAAATTTTTATAAATTTATTTTATGGCTGTAGGAGAACTTTAAACGCATAGACTATGGATATAATTACAGTTTAGCTCAAATTGCAAAAGAGAGTGGTGTGCGCCTTTACTCTCAAATGTCAACATCAGGTGCAAATAAAGACAGTTTTTGGCTTTATCTTAACTCCAAAGGAAAGGTATTTTTTTAACATCTCTTGTAAAAAAGTTTATAAATGGGCTGTTATTAGAAACCTACTTATAATTTTCTCGTATAACCTGAATTTTTATTCTGAAATATTTTTTACAAATAATAATAGTATTGACTCTCAATCTCAAATTGCATTAACCATTGCATGAAGATTCATTTTTAACTTGTTATAAGATTGTTTATTTGAAAGCATAAATTGTTATTTATGACATAGCCTTCAAGTTTTTATGAAAATTAATTTTTATTAAAAGAAAAAAAATTCTATAAATGTTTTCCTTTTAAAAAATTGTTTGTTGTTTGTCAGTTTTTGAAATAAAGTTTCAAAATTTGTAGTTAATGTAAAAGCATATTATTAAATGTAGTAGTGGAGTAGTGTTTGAGTGTTCGCCTTATAAGAGAGAAGTTCCGAATTTGATCCTCGCCTTGTTCATGGTAGTACCATGCTCAACTTGTCACTCTGCGCAGCAGCCTTGTTTGTCAAGGTTCTTGTTTCAGTGTTATAGAGTTGAGAGAGGGTTGTAATTACATGACTGAAGTGTCCTTCATGGCCTTGGGGAAGTAAATTGAAATTATATATATATATATATATATATATATATATATATATATATATATATATATATATATATATATATATATATATATATATATATATATATATATATATATTATGAAAAAAAAAATATGGAAGTTAAACCAAATAAACCTTGTATAATCCAAAGAATTAATAACAGTTTATTATTATATCAATAAGTTAAACCCCATAAACTTTGTATAAACAAAAGAAAAGCATAATATTATATATGATTGAGTTAAACAAAATAAATCTTAAATCAATTTTTATATTAATAAGATTTTTTAATTAATAATAAAAGACTTAGTGATAATTACTTTCAATTAAATTTAGAATTTTTTGTTTATTTTTATTTATTATTAATTTAAAATTTTTTATCCAGCGTAATTTTACGAGTTTTAGATGTTTTTATGCTTATAAGTTCTCATTTTTTAAATTTTTTATTTTTCATGCTTATAAGTTTTTATCTGCTTTTAAAAAAAGCAGTAATATCATACTAGATAAAACTTACTTGTCTTCAATATGAAATTTAAAGGAAAGACAGTAAGTTAAAAATCTGGCTAATTTTCTAACTTTTAAATCCCTCCCCCTCCTTTCTAAAAAATTAGTTTAAAATGTTTAAAAAACATCTAAATATAATCTAAATATAAAATAATAATATTTTTTGAAGTTTTTATTATGAAGTTTGTTGCAATCCAATTCACTTAGGCGTATAAGCTTGTTACACCATATTATAATAAGAAAATAAATGCTGAGGCGTTAGGAATGGAAAAAGATAATGGAGAAAGAGTTTTTTAAGTTTTTAAAGTTTTTCTTGTATTTTAATTAGCCTTATAAAGTTATATGTAGTATTTTTTGTTATAAGCCAACTGATGGTTTTCGAAGTTTGATTGTATTTTAATAACCCTTATAAAGTTACATGTAGTATTTTTTATGATAAGCCAACTGATGGGTTTTGGAAGTTATGACAGTTGTCATATTACAATGCAAAAGTTATGACAGTTGTCATATTACAATGCAAAAGTTAACTTGAATTTCAAATTAAGATAATATATTTATAGGATTTGTGCACCATTGGCTATAGCTCTGTTCCCAGCTTTGTTTTATCAAACCCTACCTAAAAAAATGTTACTAAAAATTTGCTGATACTTTTATTTTTAAAGTGGTTCATCTAGAAAATCGTTATACTGGAAACACCAAAGTTTGGTGTTTCCAGTATAACGATTTTCTAGATGAACCACTTTAAAAATAAAAGTGCAATAAAAACTAACAATAGCTGTATTCATTATTTAATATAAAATTACTCCTTGAAGCATCAGTATATTGTGTGTCTTCCTTGAAACTTTGTTTGCCTTTATTTCTTATAGTTGTCATTTGAAATAATACTACTCCTTAAAACCAGGTGTGCCCTTGTTCCTTATTCTCATCATTGATTAAAAATAAAACACTACTCCATTTTAATTTCAGTATCTCCTTGATATTTTGTGTGTCCTTTATGCTTATATTTAACTTTTTATTTGATTAGCTTTTAAATGATGTTATTACTTTTATTTTTTGCTAATTTATTATTATTAAGTATTTTTAGTATTTGTATTTTTTTCTCTTTTTCAGTTAGAATGGGATTGTGGATTGTTGAACTTTCCACAATACTCAATCTTCAGACCATCATTCTTAGATCGTCAAGACAAAAAAAGACTTCTTGAAAAATTTGCTGGTAAAATTTATTTTTATGATAAGCTTTATCTAAAGGTGTATGTATGTAAGATGTGTTGTGGCTCTTGAATTCAAATAATAGTTTTTAAGTATTGAATTCACACCAAATTAGTTGGTGACAAAGTTAAAAATAAGATTTTAACATACATTTTTTGATACATATTGTAAAAAAAAAAATTATTTTGTTTATATAAAAATTATTTTGTTTATTTAAAAACTGTTGAAACGTTTTTACAAAACGTTTCAACAGTTTTTATTAGTAGAACTCTTATGAGAATTATTAAGATTTCTTAAAATAAATGTTGCAAATTTAGAATCCCACTTTAAAATGTACTGGGAATGCCTTTCCTTATTTAAAAATGACAACATGAAAGAATTAAAGCATTTTTTTTAGAAATTTCATGAATTCATAAACATGAATTTTTATGATAGTCAGGCTTAAGTTGTTTTGAAAAATTAAAATAGTTTAAAAAGTAAAAAAAAAAAAAATGAAGAGAAAACGGTTAATATCAAAAAAATTTAAAAGCTAAAAGTTTATTGTTAAGACTAATAACAATGAGAATATGTAAGAATATTAAAAATATAAGTTTAGAATTTTGAATATGTAACTGCATGAATAAGTATATGTAATAAGTTTTATCTTGCATAAGATAATTTTGAAAATTTAAAAATGATTTTAAATATTCAAGTAGAAGTAATCAACATAATTCTTTAAATATACAAATTGCTAAAACACTAGCTGGTAATGTTATGCTCATAAGCTATTATAGGAGTATTTCAGTGTAATTAATATTTAATTAAATTTATCATTTTTGTATAAAAACTTTTAAAATATTTATATACTTATTTACATGTTTGCATAATAATTTTAATTTACCTATTTGTTTATGTGTTTATTTATATATTCAATGTTATTATATAGTGATATAATAGTTCATTACAATTAGCTGGAAGAGTTATCATCTCTAAGTTTATTTGTTAATCTCATCAATTTTTTACACTGGTTCCCTTCAAACTTTCCACCATGAAGTTTTTTGTCTGACAAGGGAACTCCTTTCTAAGAAAAAATCCCATTTTTCTTGTCCCCATCATGTTGATAGGTTATTCCACAATAGATGAATTGTTCCTGCATAGAGATGAAGTTCGGGTATACTGCATACTTCCATAACTTCAGTTTCATCATCTCCTGCCAGAAGTGGTTGATTATTGCAATTATAAAATTTATTTAGTTATGATTTAGAATTACATCCTTGTTTTCAAGCAAGGTTTTGCTCTCTAATTGATCCAAAGGTTCGTTTATCTCCTCTAGAGTAAAGCTAATCTGCATAATCTGCACTCTTAGTACAGAATATGTCTTAATCAAAAACAAGGTAGAAGATGGGTAAAAGCATTAGAGTAGCACACAGTGAAGCTGGTATTACGCAGCACAACTTAGTTGTTTGTAACATGAAATCAGGAAAAATCTGAAAAAGAAAAAAAAAAGATCTAGTTGATAAAGTGCAGCATTTGGAAATTAAAAGAGAATGGAGAAGATAATCATTTTAAGAAAAAAATTATATGAAAGACTAGAAATCAGGTCAGAAAGAAATGCGAAAAGTATATGGAAAAACATAATAAAAATTTTCTAGGTCTGATAATGTATGCAGAAAATTAAAAAGTCTTCAGAGACGAAGGAAATCATGGTCATAAAATACAGATTTAATATAATACTGGAATTTAAGTTGGATAGTAAAGATTTATAAAAGAGGTTGAGACTGTAGAATCTAGCTCATATAAAGAAATAAAATTGCTTGACCAGGTAGAAATGATTTTAGAATTAATGCTGACAAAATAAGGAATGTATTAATAAACACAGTTAGGTTTTAAGTCAAGAAAGGGACATAACGTGTACAATATTTATAGTAAGGCAAGTTCAAAAATGATTATGAGAAGTAAAAAGATTGGCTGATGTTATTTATAGACCTTGAAAAAGCTTTTGACAAATACCAATTAAGTATGGTGAGTTTTAAGGTATTTAGGTGTTGAGGAATAGCTGGTAACAGTTATCATGGTTATGTATGAAAATGTCACATCACCAATCAATAAGAGAGTAATAGTTATGGTTTGCTTTAGGGATCAGTGCTAATTTCTTTGCTTTTTATTAATGTTTAAGTGAGGCTTAATTCCTCTCTTTCTCTTTCTTTCTCTCTCCCTCTCTCTCTCCTTCTCTCTCCCTCTCTCTCTCTCTTTCTCTCTCCCTCTCTCTCATTCTCTCTCTCCCTCTCTATCTCCTTCTCTCTCTCCCTCTCTCTCTCCTTCTCTCTCCCTCTCTCTCTCTTTCTCCCTCTTTCTCTCTCCCTCTCTCTCATTCTCTCTCCCTCTCTCTTTCTCATTCTCTCTCCCTCTCTCTCTGTGAAGAGTTTAGTGTTACTTTACTATAGAACCTATTTTATGCAGAATGGTCTAGAATTTTATGTTTAATAAGTAAATTTTTATGCATTGTCAAGTCAAGAATGATGAAAATACCTTGCAGAACAAAATGTTTTTAATATTGTCTTGAGTGTAAAAAATGTACTATTTAAAAAATCAAAAAAAAGTTGAAATGTTGGCAAGTTTTTTTTTATCTTAGAAATACCATTGGATCAGCTGGTAGATTAGAAAAGGCATTAAAAGCTGTCCAGTGTCTTGTGTCCTATGGAAGTAACATGCTGCTTTAAATATTACTTCTTACTTTATGTCCTCTACTTTATGTCTTCTTGGATTATCATTCACTACTAAACTCTCATAAAAACCTTATATACAATCATTTGCTATATTAGCATTTGCTAAGGTTGCTTCTCTATTTTGTGCTTGCCATAATCTTACTCCTGATTCCATTCTTTATTTATATAAATTCCTTATATTGCCTTGTATTGAATTTTGTTGCCATGCTTGGACTGGTTCTTATAATGAAATCCTCTCTCATTAAGACAAGGTCAATTTTGGACCTGCTCCTAAATAAAGGAGCTCATCATCATTTCTCCATCAACCAAAACTCATTCTCTTGACTACAAATATGCAACTCAACTAGTTGCATTTTTTTTACTGTCCCTTCATACTCTTAAAATTTTTATTAATCCAATTTTATTCCCTGCACTTCAATGCTCTGAAACTCTCCATTTCTTTTCTTTGTTTTCTAGTAATTCCCAACTTAATAGTGGTTGCTTGCAGCTTTGTTGGTAGTGAATTACATTTAAGAAAAAAATGTAAAATTTTTATGTTTAAAATAAGCAATCTATTTCTCTAGAGTGATTTATTTTTTATTGTTCTTTGAAAAATCCACACAGGTTATTACTTTGTCTTCTTTGAGAAAGGCTTTCAGCCTAATTAACTCTGAAAAGTGGAAGTTATTATGTGTTTATGTATTCTCATTTTACTACCATCAATTATTTCTGATAAAAGGATTGTAGTTTTTTTCACCTATAGCTTCTTAAACTTTGTGAACAACCTTTTTTTGTTATTATCCAGTGGTAATATGATAAAAAATCTCAAATCACTGAAGACTTTTGTTCATTTAAACTTTCTATGACAGTTACAAATGCTGGTAATCTTTCATATCTTTGAAGTCTGCAGGTTTCTTAATCTTGTTTGGATTGTTTCCATCTAATCCTATCCTACCATAATCTTATGCTTTATTTTATGCTTAAGTATACTTCTCTCTTGAGTTTATCTGCTGATTTCATAATCTTGTTTGGTATTATTTCCATCCTAATATAGTATCCTATTCAATCCTATCCTACCACAGTATCCTCAAAACATGATTTAATTTGAACCACTTCTTAAACAAAGGCCATAAGGTAAGGATATCACTGTGAATTTACTTACTATTCCCATTAAAATATAGAGCTTAAGGACAGAAACTAATTCCTCAAGAAGAATTTCAAGATTGTTCTCTTTGTAAAAATGTCTTGTAATTATAATATTTTTAAAATGTGACATTTAACTTCTTTTCATCAAGGGTAAAGTGAATCAGATGAAGTTTTTTCTTTGGGGTTAAAAATATTTACAGTAACCTAAAGGAATCTTTAACCAGAATCTGTAGCTAACCTTAAAGTAGATTCATGTGGATTTTTAACCTTAAAGTAGAGTCATGTGGAACCTGTAGCTAACCTTAAAGTAGAGTCATGTGGATTCCTCATTCTGAAGTAATATGCTGTATAAATGATAATGTATCTTTCAGGCTTGGACAGGAATGGCGTTCGATCGAGCGCTATTGCTGACCACGCAAATTATTTTATTTTTTGACAACTTGACCACGATTGTTTAATAAACAATGTTTATATGTTTTGATAAGTTAAAAATTTAAGAAATGTTCTGAATGTAGAAACGCTAAGCTAAACTTAAACTAGGAAAAAAATTAAAAAAAAAACTAACGAAAAAAAAAAAAAAAACTAACGAAAAAAGAAACGAAAAACAAATTCATAACAAAAAAGAAATCATATAAGCACTAAAATGAAAATAAAAACTTAAACTCAAAGCGAAACTTTTTGTTGCGTTTTTAATTACGTATAAAATAAACGTTATAAAAACTTATCTTTCTAAGCGTTATTAAAGTTACGCATAACGTTTTTAAATTAAATAACAAATTACTACTAACGATTGATTTAATAAAAGAACAAATTTTATAAAATTTATTTAAAAATAGGCTTTTTAAAATAGTAATTTTTACTAATTTCATGCTCTAATTAGTGAGTCTATTTAAAAAAAAGGTTTTGAACTTTTTTATTTGTAAAAATAGAAAAATAAATAAATAAAATGCGCCTGCGATTTAAATAAAATAAACTGCCAACAAACTTTATTATTTAATTTTAATTTGAGCATTACAACTTTATTAATAAGCGCTTCGCGTAACGAATTTAAAAATTATTATAAAAGATTTAATCTCATTCATTTTTAACAAAATTGAAAGAAAAAAAAAATTGTTTACAAAATATAAAATGTTTATTTAAAACATTTTAAAAAATCGTAAGTTTAATCATAAAAATTAATTGTATGAACATTACAAAATGCTTTAAAACTTTTTCATTAAATCAACAAAATACATTAGTAAATATAGTTATTTTATATATTTTATATTAGTAAATAAAGTTATTTTATATTCTTGTGTAATTCACATAAAATGTGTAAAAGTTAGTTGTCACAAAAGCTTTTGAACTTATTCAAAAATTAAAGTAACTTAAAAAAATTCTTTCTAAAAATAATGGTTTACAAATATTTTAGGAAGACATAAGAAAATAGTTTAAATTTATCATAAAAATAAAATGCCTACATAAAAAAAACTTATTTATAATTTTTTTTATTAATTTACACAAGCGTTTATGTAAACAATAACTATAATTAATTTTATGGTTTTATTTAAAGCCTTTGCTTAAAAAAAAAAACTTTAGAAAAGATCAACGATTAAAAGATATTTATAACGTAACACTTTTTTTAATGCATTCAAATTGTTAAAACATCAAAAAAGCCGTGGTCAAGTTGTAAAGAAATAAAAATATTAGCGTGGTCAGTTACAGAGTGCGATCGCACGCCATTCCTGCCCAAGCCTGATCTTTTACATGAGCCAATATTCAAGTAATAACTTCTCCATTCATAAATAATTTTTCTTTAGTTGTTTAAAACTTATCTATCTGGGTATTTACACCTTCAATTTTTTCAGTTATTTTCTTCAATGCAGGTTTGAGTTCCCATACTAGCTCAATATTTGGAACAAAATTTTTGGTTTGGTTATTTAAAGGGTTAAAAAATTCAACTCCATAATCATACAAAAGGATACCTGTTTAAGCTCAATAGAGTTAGTTTTTTTGTCTGGATTTATTTTATGCCTAAGTATACTTGGCAACAGACAATAATGAGGTATTTTTAAATTTACTTTCATGAGGCTTCATATACTAAATGATTAGGATTGAGCAGTTTCGCTGCTTTAATGAGAGTTTATTCTATGTACAGATGTGAGCCACTTATTGCACTAAATATTTTAAATAAGTAGAAATTACTAAATTAAATAGACAAAATTTTTTAATTCAAAAAAACTTTCTTCAATACAATCAATTTTAATATGTGAGACTATAATATTAAAAAATAATAATAATAATGGTAATATGCAGAAAAAATTTGATAAAATATGAATATTTTAGGGTTAATGATCAATTGAGTATAAAAGCATTGTTTTAGAAAAGCTATAAATATTAATATTTTAAAGACTATATGCAAGTATTTAGCTATTTTATAAACTAATATAACTATATGCAAATATTTAGCAATTTTATAAACTAATATAACTATATGCAAGTATTTAGCAATTTTATGAACTAATGATTTTTTAGTTTTGACCTTGTTCTTTAACAAAAAAATTTTATAATTTACTTACTACAGTTTTGTTGGTCTTTTAGATTGATCATAGAAAGAAAGTCATTTAGAAATGCAAATTTAGTTTATCAACAGTAGGCAAAGATTTTGTTAATGGTAAATTGTTTAAAAAAAGTTAGTAGATACAGTTAACTCTCAGTTATTTTAACCTCCATGGGGAATAAGAATTTACTTCGTATTAATGAAGGAGGAATGAATTAACTACATGAAACATTTCTTTTGTGATCTATTTTCTAATTTTTATCTTGCTATGTTTGTTATGAATAAATTTAAGAAAAAATAAATTGAAAATATTTTTTAATAAAACTTTTCTAACTTGAAAAAATAAATAATTACATAATGGAATTATTTGTCAATGGAATTAGAAAATTGTTACATAATTTAGTTATTATAATTAACCTAATCCTTATCACAGAGGGACATCAAATTTAATTACTTTCAAAAGTTTACCATTTATTTGGCTTGATCTGCAATTAAACTATGGAGTAAAAATCTAATCGTTTTAGTGAAATTAAGAAAGAATGATTTCTTAATTTCCCCTATATGGTCACAGAGAAAAGTTTCTCAGATTTGTCATATTGTCATCATTTGGAAGAATTGATATTTTCTTTCATATTTTCTATTATTTTATATTATCTATCAATGCTATGTAAATGCCTATTTTTTTTAAAATAGAAATACACTTTGTTTGTTTTTAAAACTCTAGCAAATGTCTTCTAAAAGATTTAGATATATTCTAGGTTTTACAAACTTAATTTATTTTGTTTCTAATCATAATTTATACTTCTATTAACTTAATTTATTCTGTTTCTAATCATAACTTATGCTTCTATTTACAACAGTTAGAATTTTTTTTCTAGTTAAAAAATTTGCTTTTAAGTAGTCCCCTCACAATATAATTGTATTTATAAATAAATTTTAATTATGATTTATAAATTAAAAATTTGAACAATAATCATTAAGTTGTTAAAACTTGGGTTATACATTAAATAGTATAATATAAGTAACTCTCAGTACTTCAGACATATATATACCACAATAGTTATTATTTATAAAATAGTTATATTTATTTATATTTAGGCTTTTTTGTTACCCCAATATCATGCCAAATAGTTGCTCAAGCCATGGTTGTTGATGCCCTCATGAAGTTGCATTCACAGTTACCTGAGTCACCTGAACAAACTATTTATGAGAATTCACAAATCTATAAAATGAGTGAGCAAGCTGATCTCAATTACTGAAGTTCATTAGTTTTTAAATATTCTTGAGTTTGTATAGTTTTTTATTATAATATTATATATTACAAATAAGTAAGTGCGATCATTGGTAAGTGTGACAATTTCTTATATATTTAACAAATTTTTCAAACATTACAAAAAAATTAGAAGAATTCCAGTTTTATAGGAATTTTTCAGAATGTTTATGACATAGATATTGTACTATAGTTTATATGAGGGTAGATAACTTTTATTATATTGGTAGAATTTGCAATTGTAATGCTTTTTCTATATTTATTTAATGTATTCTTGAAATTTCTTTATAAATTAAATTTTTGTATTTTGTAACTGTTGTATAAAAGATGTGTTATAACCATGGTGTTATCATTTAATTATTTTTTTGTTAAATAAAATTTTTTATACACTATAAATATTCAAACATTTTAAAATTAAATTAAATTAACTTAATGTGTTTCATTTAAGATTTTTAAAAAAAGTGTCTATAAGCATATTAATTTTTTTTTTGACAGTCTTGTAGTACTATGCTAATTAGTTTCTCCATAATGTTACCTTGCTTGTCAAGGTTTGTGCTTTGGGGTTACGGTATTAAAATAGTTTAGTGCCTTGAGAGTATAAAATTATAGAATTTAAAAATTATTACTTTTTTTTAGTGAAAGTTAAAAGTTAGTTGTTGTTGTTTTTAAAGATGGGTTTGACTTTAAAGAATATTAATTTATTGCTGTTTATTCTAAGAATTGTGTTGGTTATACTACCCTTTCCTGGCTATATACATCCTGATCAATACTTTCAATCAACTGAGGTAATGGCAGGTGACATTCTTCATATAAAATCAGATTTAACTTGGGAGTGGAATAGTCTTTATCCTATTCGAAATATAGTTTTTCCTGCTCTCTCATCTGGAATAATGTTTTGGTTGGCTAAGTTTGTAAAAAATTACCTTTTAAACTTTGATTATACACCATATTTGCTGCTGATTTTACCTAGAATCATGATGCTCTTGGTAACTGTTTTGATAGAAAAGTTATTTCTTATAATAATTTGTCAAGAGAAATTAAAAATTCGAAAAATGTGTATCTTTTTGTTTCGCTCATCTCATGTTAGCCTTATTTTTTTCACAACTACGTTTTCAAATACCTTTGAAACATTACTGTTTGCATTAATTTTTTACCAGTCAAGGTGTTTGACTAAAGCAATAAGAAAAAGCAATGATAGAGTTTATATTCAAGTCTTTTATATTGGATTAACAACAGCATTTGGTTTCTTTATTCGACCTTCATTTCTTGCCTTTGCTTTTTATCCTCTTCTGCATGTTGCCATCATAACTGTAATTTTAAAGTCATTTTTTCAAGTTATAGTAATTGCTATTAAGTTCTTTTTTCTTTTTTCTGCTGGACTTCTTTTAGGTACTTGCTTCAATGTTTTTATTGACACTGCATACTTTTCAAGAATGAATACGAATAGTTGGGTTTTAACACCATTGAACTTTATAAAATATAATGCTAATGTAACTCTTTTGCAGAAGCATGGGTTACACCCAAGGTTGTTGCATTTTGGAGTTAATATGGTTTTGCTGTTTGGGCCTTTGTATTTGTGTTTCATATTTTTATTGATGAAGAAAATAAGTAGCAAAGAAGCACGATTATCTACCTCTAAAGAGTTTTTATGCTTTGTTTTATGTTCAACTCTAGTTCCTGTTTTTATAATGTCTACTGTTCAACATCAAGAACCAAGATTTATTTTGTCTGTTATAATACCCTTAATTATTTCAGTAGTTGTGCTATCAATGAAAAGGCTAAATGTGTTTTTTTTTTCAACTTGGATAATGTTTAATATATTAGGAGCTTTTTGGTATGGTTTTGCTCATCAAGGGGGTATAGTTCCAGCATTATCTCAAATATATATAGATCAAAAAGATACAAGTTTACATCATAACCATTTTGTTTTTTGGAAGACTTATATGATTCCTAAGCATCTATTAGCTCTTTCTAAACATGATAAGAACACTCACATTTACGATTTAGCAGGTGCAGATATTGATGTATTTTTAAACAAGCTGCAATCCCTTCAAGAGTTTTCAAAAGTAAACAAGGTAATCATAAGCATATTGAAAATTTAATTTATTGTGATGGTATAATATGAAAGATTATAAATTTAAAAAAAAACTAAAAAAAAAAAATTATAATAAGTTAAACAGTACTTTAATTTAACCCACAGACCTCTATCCCCAGCTCTCTAGTTAAGTAATCCACAGACCTCTAGCCCCAGCCCCAGCTAAAAGAATAACATTAGCAGTGTTTTTTATTCAGAACTAAAAAAGTTATATACATACACACACACACACACACACACACACACACACACACACACACATATCCACACACAATTTGAATAAACATATATATTAACATAGTTGTAGATAAAACTTATACATGAAAACCATTATAAAAATTTCAGCTACAATGCTCAATTGAATTGGAAAAAAACTACTTATTAACTTAACCTAGTTGGGTTTTTTTAATTTACTTGTTTCATATCTTAGTTTACAGTACCATATTAATGTTTAATTAGTACTTTTTTTTTTTTTTATTTTATTTTAATTCACCTCCTCAAGGCCGAGAAGGCCACTACAGACGAGGAGGCTACTTATTTGTGGTTATAACCCTCTCTCAACTCTATAACTCCGAAACATGAACCTTGTCGAGCAAGGCCGCTGCGCGGAGAAACGAGTTGAGCGCGGTACTACCAGGGACGTGGTGGGGATCGAACTCGGAACCACTCGTTTATGAAGCGAGCGTTCTACCACTACACCACTACCGCATATAAGTCCATGTCTTAAAGTTAACACTTTAAGACATGGACAGTTTCAAAATTTATATATTTTCATGTTGGTGTTTAATTAGGATTCTTTGCAGAAAATTCCAGTGGAGGTTTTGTATTTTTTGTAAAAGTGAACATGAACATAAATTTTTTGTGAAAGTAATACATGAACTTTTTTTTACTAAAGATGATTTTTAGTTATATTTTATTTTGAATGAATAAATTCTTTAAATTTTTATTTAAGAAAAGTTTAATTTGTTTTAGTTTGTTTATTATTTATTTTGTTTTAATTAATTTACTTTTTAGGTTTGGCTTTTTTGTCCAAGTTCTATGCATGATATTATTAAAAACTACTTGCTCTATAAATTTGATCTCAAGCACCAGTTTTTCCCACATGTTTCAGTTGAAAATCTTCCAACACTGAATGCACAGTTTTTTGAATCTTTAATTAATTTTCAAATAACAACTTTTTTCAGAAATTTGTGTTCTCTCAATATGTATAGAGTTTATATAAATAATTCAAAATAATAAATCAAGTTGTTTTCATTGTATTTATTCAGTTTTATTAATACAGGGTGTCCACTCTGCTGGAAAAACTGGAAAAAAGGCTTTTTTTAAAAAACACGCTGGAAAATTGGAAAATTAATGCTTTAAGCAACATTAATGCTGAAACTAGAATTTTTGATAAATTGCTGTTTAGTAGTTTAGTTTGTGTTTAGTGATTTTTGAAGATTATTTTAAATCTTATTAACAATATTTATTCCTTTTAAAGTTTTATGTTTTTAATTTAGATTAGTATTGTTATTTTAGTTAGTATAAATATGGAGTTTGTTAAAAAAGTGAAGCATCTAAGACAATTTAAAGATAACTGGTTGAGTGATGATAACATTAAAGATTGGCTAAAGAAAGATCATAAAGATGATATTAATGCAAGATGGGTGGTTTGCCACAGGTCAATAGAACTCTCTTCAAGTGGGCGCTCTGCCTTGACAGATCACACACAAGGAGCAAAGCACAATACAGAATTAAGAAAAGTGAAAGGATTCTTTGCAAAATCAAAAGAGAAAAGTTCTTTACCATCTGTCTTTTCTGACTCAATGAGTCAATTATAGAAAAACAAAAGACATTAGACTGGTGTGTCAAAAAACTAGATGTTACTAAAGCTGAAATTATTTGGCAGCTTAAAAATGCAGAAAATGGTTTTTCTTTACATTCAGTTGACGACTTTAGCCATGTTTTTACAGCTATGTTCTTCGACAGTGCCATAGCTTCACAATTTCAGATGCGTTGAAGTAAAACTTCAAATGAGTTAAATCATGGTTTAACTTCTTATTTTAAATCAGTTTTGTTAGAAATTTTAAAACTGTCAGGCATCCATGTCTATTCTTTTGATGAGAGTTTAAATGACTCTTTAAGCGGAGTTTAAGTTCAAACTTCTAAAATGGATATTTTATAAGATTCTGGGATGAAATCGTGTAAATGTCCGTTATTTTGGATCAAGTTTCATAGGTCATACAACACACCAAGACTTATTAACTCATATCAAGGATATTGTTAAAAATTTTAAATAAAAATAAAAAAACTCTACCAAATATCAATGGATGGTCCAAATGTCAATCTAAAATTTTTTCGATGAGTTCAGTAGTTTTTTCGAGTTTCAGTTTGACTGAAACTATTTTACATTCTCTTATTAGCATCAGAACTTGAAGTTTGCTTATTGCCCATAGCAGTCCTTTAAAAACTGGAGAGGCTGTTACAGAATGGAATCTGAAAAAAGTTTCAAATGCTTTCTATTATATTTAACATAATATAAGTCCTGCAAGGAGAAAAGGCTATAACTCTGTTACTGGTTCTTTTGTCTATCCTCTTAACTTCTGCTCAACAAGGTAACTACTTCTACTGTACTAGCTCCATTCAAAACATAAATTCACATGCTTAAGACAATCAAGTTTTTATATGACATTTAGTTACTGGCAATTATAGTAAGACAGATGACATTTGTTGTGAAACATCTGACTCGCTAACTGATACAAAAGTATTGACAAGAGAACCAATATCGTATAGATATGGTTTAAAATGTTTTTAAATGGTATTTGATTTATATTTAGATTGGTTTAGAACAAAAAGGCGGTTATCAGGTTGATCGAAGTTTGGAAAAGTTTGTAATGTTTATTTTTTATTATTTTAGAAAGCTTTACCTAAATCCAAACAACCAAAATGTAAAAGCTATGAGACATTAAAAAAAGCACTTAAAGATGCTTTTGAAATTACATTTCTTTACTTATATTGCAAATATAGTTGAACCTTTTCTGAACAAATACCAGACAGATTGTCCAATGGTTCCATTTTTATACTTTGATGTAAAGGAAATAATAATAAAGTTGCTTGAAGTTATTGCAATACCAGATGTCCTTGAAAAATGCAGAAGCTGGAAAAAATTGAAAGATCTGGATCTTTGACTAATAATCTGTTCCTGATAAGAAGCTTAACGCTGTATTTTCTTTTTCTGAAGAACTACATCATCTGAAAAAGAATAATTTGATAACATTGTCTTAAATCAAAGAGTTCTTTAAGGTGGCTAAGAAATTTGTTGTTTTAATGGTGAAAAGCTTCAGTGACAAATCTCTATTGAATTATTCATTGATAAGCACATTCAGTATCTTTAACCCTAATGTCTTGATGAAGTTGACAAAACAAAAATTGGTTAATCCTTTGAAAACTTTTCTTGAGTACTTCATGAGTTTAAGGATTTTATCACCACAGCAATGTGACTTGGTGTTATCTCAGTTTAAAAATTTTATGGATAATGAAGTCAAAGCCATAAAGCAATTGTTTTTTAAGTTTATTCATCCAAAGGACTGTCTTGATGGTTTTTACTTTCAACATGCCTTTGTCAGCAATTACATTGAATTGACTTGTTGCTGTTAAGCGTAGTTTTATCATAAACATTTTTTCTGATAAAACAAACATGACACCTTCAAGTATTATCTCCCGGAGAATCATAAAGAACCATCTAATTGCCAATGATTTAAAACCGCACACAGACCAAATCAATGCACCATTGGTCAAAGATTTTCAATCAGCCTATCAAAAATATATGAGTTGGAAAATGTTAAAAAAGAGAAAGAGAAAACAGAGTAAGAATACAAAAATAATGCATATCACAGCCCACCTTGAAAAATTAAATCAAAAGGTTATGATGGAAAATAAGATTACAGAGTGTATGGAACTTGTGGAGAAAAAAATTGACCATTTGTTACGTTAAGAAGGGAAATGGGTTAAAAAGAAAAAGTATTGAAACTAAACAAGAGGTTGAGTTAATAGAAAAACAAATAGAAGAAATTAAAAATAAGAAGAAAAAAATTTTAAGTTAGTTTTTAGTAACAAATGTCTTATTTTATTTCAGTATAATTTATTGCAATTATCTAAAGTTCTCCTTTAAAGTTTTCTGATTTTGTGATTTATTGAGAAATTTTGCAATTTATTATTCATAACTAAAATAAAAAAAATGCTTTGAATGGATTGTGACTTCCATAAGAATTTTTTTGATACAATAACTAGAAACTTAGTAAATAAGTTGTTCTTTGTCTTAAATAGTTATTTGTTAAATTTCATGAATATTTTGTTTTTAGTTTTAAGTTAATTGCTTAAATTTTTGCTTTAGTCATTGTTACGACTGACTCTTCAGAGTTTCATTAAGTTTAATTTGTTTTAGTTTTTTTTGAAATTAATTAAATTTTAAAAAAATGTGTTATTTAAGTCCTTTTTTTTCTTTTTTTTTTTTCTGAATATATAATTCTCAATGGTGTTGAGATCAGTATTTATAGTGTTAATGCTTTTTAAATTTATTACAGTTTTTTTCAATTAAGTTGTAGTACACAAATTTATTTAGTATTTAGTTTTAGATTACATACTTTGATGTTTATAAGTACAATGGTTGTCTTTACGACAATTTTTGTATCACTTTAGAAGTATCATTAGTGCTGGAATTTAAGTGCTTTTTTAATACTGATGCTGAAAAAAAATATGGGTTTCAGGACCAAAATCCTGGAAAAACATATCTAAATAAAGTAGTAAGTGCTGGAATTTTTAAAATTTTGAGTGGACACCCTGTAATGTTCTTAATTTCACCAATTGTTTTAGATAAGTTAATTTTTTACAACTCTGTTTATTAAATACATCAATTTATTTTTTAGTTTAATATTATAACAGTTGTTAGTTGTTTTTTTTTTAACTAAATTTTAAAGTGTTGATGAATATTTATTTTATTTTGTTTTTAGAGTTTTTTTAATGTAATAAACAACATTCATATAATTATGCTTGTGATATAATATAAATGGCTTGAACAATGAGTAACAAAAAACCTCCATCTGGTACCTCTAGTCAGTTGATCAAACTTACTAGAGAAATTGATAGAATCAAATTCAAGGTATGACAATACATTACTTAAGTATTATGTTAAATTTATTTGTCTCTTTTTTTATCATAATGCTTTGATTTTAAACTTTTATATTTATGGATGCATAAATATGTGAGCTTCAGTTAAGGCTCAACTTATAATAAACGTAAATATATTTATGTTTGTTTATTATAAGTTGAGTTTCAGAACCTTTAACAATATTTCATGTAATGTTACTTCTATTATGTAAAATATAGTAGTGGTTCAACACACTGCTTAGCAACATAGTAGGTATTAACGACTTCATGTCATTTGTGAAGTTTGTTTGAAATTAGTGTCACTTGTGATTAAGACAAGCAACACATATTTTAGAGGCATGGTGCTAAACGACCATTAATATTGGTTAGCAACAATTAAAAATCAGTTTTACAGTTGGAAATTGCATTAATGCTGCTGGCAATCATCTTGTGCCTTACATTATTTTTAACTCAAAGTACATCTGTACAAAGGTCATTGCTCAAGTGGTTCAAATGATGCTGTATACACAACATCTTTATTGAGATGGATTGATGGTGTTCCATCAAAGTATTGAATGGTATCAGTGCTAAAATTCAAAATGCAAGATTTTGCTTTCCCTAATATGCATACCAAAGCGATATGTAAAAGGAACCAAGTTTTATTGCATTAAAAAGTACCAGCAAGTGACAATTCAACCTTCAGCATCTCTCAATAAATCAACATCAATTAAAAACAAAACAACAAGAATTAAAAAAAAAGTTGTGGTTAACTTTTTTAATTTTTGCTGTTGGTCGCTTTTTTTAAGTGTTCTTTTGATATTTAGATTTTTTTATAACATCTTTTCCCATTCCTATTTTTCATAATTGAGGTAGGTGAGATTTCTTAAATTATCCTAGTGGTAGTAATACCTAAATAATCAGCCCTAATTTGCAAACATGGTAATGCCAGGAATGGTATCTTGTAAATATTTGCTTTTACGTTTTTATAATGTCAAATTTAAGTATTATGGAATTTAAATATGAATTAAATTAATGATGTAAAACCAGTTATTTTTAGGTGCTAATAATATAATTTTTAGGTGCTAATAATATAATTTTTAGGTGCTAATAATATAATTTTTAGGTGCTATAATTTTTTAATATTAGAGAACATAATCATCGGCAGTGCATATCATCCTAAACTATAAGCTACACAGTTACCTCAGTCTTGCTAATGGATGCTGCTTGTATGACCTTGACAATGGACACCAAAAGCATTAACAAGGTCACCATCCATCCACATCATGGCACTGTGAGTACTCTGATGTTTTACAGCTGTTGATGGAATCAGCCTCTCTGAGAGCTATTACAGAGTTTAAGAAATTTTACTACCAGCTTGTTCCAGAACCATTTAATGGAGTTTTAGAATTGTGCCTTCATTAAGATATAACAGAAAATGTTGCATAACTACTACTAAGAAGGTGCAAGCAAAACCCATGCATAGAGTCAAGAAAATCAAGGGCTCGTTGTCCAAGACAGAAAACAATGTAACACAGGTTTATAACTATGCTATCTTTTTTGATGAAGAAGAAAGAAGACTCTTTCTACTAAAAATAAAAGCCCAGAAGGCTTTCTACAAGTCAGTAGTCAGATGCAGTTAACATTTGCCCAAGATTAATATTATTATTAAGGCCTAAGCTCTAAGACAAGGGGGTAATATAAGTCAGAGTTAACTTCTCCAAGTATTTGCCTAAAAAAGCAAGTCTTACATGGCAGCAGGATACATAGCAGGTTGTACTGGATTACATATTACTAGCAGCAGGGTTATTAAAACTTATTAATAAATCCAATCTAATAAGAATTTTTGCTTAAAATAAAATGAAAAATCTTACTATACAATTTATATTTAGTTATTATTATTATTTTTTTAATGTTTTTTTTTTAATTATATTTTCAGGTTGATGATATTTGTTCAAATGAATTACCAAATATCGGAGTTGCATCTTCTGATAGACTCGCTGTTTTAAATGTGGTGAAGGAACTGCAAAATGATGTTGGTTTGATCATTAGAAAGCTAAAAACACTTACAGCTGTATGACATTGTTTTGTTTTTAGCTTTACAATTTAATAAAAAGTTTAAATAAAGGATTGAAAAATAGGATACCATTTTAGTTAATTTTATGATTTGTCTTAGTATATTCAAAAACAATTTAGGCATTTTCTTAAATTCTAGACAGATGAGCGAATGGTTACATCAATATTTGAAAAGCAGAAATCTCAAGAATCTCAAAGGATTTTAAATCTGCAAGTAAGTTTTTCTTATTTTATCAAGAAAAAACAGGTAAGGGGGTTGAATCCTTAAAAAGTACAAACTGGTGCCTTTAGGGTTCGTAAACGTTTGTATGCACAGATATTTGCCAATAATTTGTGCGCATACATTCGCATAATTATGCGCATAACTTTTTTTTTCAATTTTAAATCATTAAAAACTTTTAAATTGTTTTGACTAGACAGACAAAAAAACAAATTTTAATTCTAGTTTCCATGAAATTTTTAATTAATGTTCCTTTGGAACAAAAAAATCATCAGTTTTAAAAGTGGACTTTAAAGTTAACATCTTTTAATTCCACTTTTAAATCTCTTTAAATAACGCACTTTTATAATTAATAACTTCAAGTTATTTATTATAAATGTGATTCAATTAAAGAGATAAGTAAAACAATAAAAAACTGAAAAATTTATTGGTTAATCAGATGTTTTTCCTCAAACAGAAAAAAAATGGAAAACTTTACAATAAATAGATAATTGCAAAATTTTGATACAGTTAAGAGAACTGGAACTTGAATTGCCAAAAGACAGTTCAATGGGCAAAAGATTGCGTTGCAGCCCATAAACAAACATCATATGAAAAGCTGAATCATCAATCAACTTCAACAACGACATCATAATCTCAGCTGAAGCATACAAAGTAGTTGACAATGTGTGAAAATACTGTTCATTTTTTGATTAAATGTAAGCAAAATTCTCAGCTAAATTGGTAGGAATTCTTGAATAATCTGAAAATGTAACGTTCGTCAGTAATGATTGGACAAAAATTTTGGGGCGATCATATAATGATATTTTGTATTAAAGCACAAAATACAAAACCTTTTTTCTATACTTCAATTAACACATTGGGCATAAATCAAAACATTGCAGCTGTTGCTGGTGCCATCATTGAAGTAATCGAGTCTCTCCACCCACAAAAGTTAAGAAGCATTATCACTGATAATGCTCCAGTAATGAAAGCTGCTTAAAAATTAATTGAAGAAAAATTTTCCACACATCTTGATGTATGGCTGTGCAGCACACGGTATGAATCTTCTCGTTAAGGATATTTTGAGTACTGCTGATAGTTCAACAACTATCAAAGAAGCTAAAAAAGTTTGTGAAAAAGCATCGCATTGGTAAAGCAAAGTTTGATGAAGAGAATAGCAGCTAATATTCCTTGCTCACTCACAATGACTGTTTTGACTCGATGACTCAGTCAATTTAATTTAATAAATGACCTTTGTATAGCAAAGTACGTTTTGATTCAACTTGCAGATGAGGAAAATGCATCTTCGAAAGAAATTGCTCCAAAAACAAATTTGGCTGCTGTTTTGATGCTAATTAAATCAAATACCTACTGGGATAGCAAAACTTGTAAAAGATATCGAATATCCGTCTAACATCATTGGAAGACTTGAAAATTATAATTCCGCATTATCTTTGGTGTACTTTTATTTTGGTGAAATGTACAAGAAATTTGCAAATGAGGAAATTATTCAGGAAATGGTTATAAAGCGCTTTAAATTCCTAATCACCTCAAATATGTAAATTGCCTATATGCTGACAACGAAGTATGCTGCAGAAAAATTCTATTTTGGTTAGAATAAAACTGATATAATCAGTTCAATTTCAGAATTAGCCTCCAAAACAAATCCAACAATTGCTAAGACAGTTGAAAGTAAAATCATTGAGTTTAATGGAGAAATGACAACACTGACAAAAAAAAGAAAAAGACAATTTTCAAAATGAGTGCAAAGAATTATTAAAATATTGTTGGTCATCAAAAATATCCAGTAGTCTTAATAGTTGCAATATCTATTGTTGAAATGATTTGTTCCTCAGTAACAGCAAAAAAAACTTAGACAGTTTTTCGATTTATTCATTCACGAATTAATAAACGCTTGACAAACTAACGCATACAAAAAACTAGTTTTCAATAATACCAATATTATTTTGATGGATACAAACAGCAAAAATAACTAGATCTTAGAGGAAGGAGTTTCTCAGCTAGTTTGAGTGTAAAAAAATGAGCAAATGTAGTACAAAAATTAATTTAGTTGTCAAGTTTTTTTTTTTAGAAATTTGTTTAAAAACTATAAAAATATTTTAAAATATTTACTAATAAAATAAATTACAAAAAATTATATAAAAAAATATTTTATTAATTTAAATTTTTGAAACTCTACATTAAGAATTTTCAAATATAGATGTGCTCACCTTAATAATATATAAATGTTTATATGCTCACCCTAATAATGTTCAAATATAGATGTGCTCACTTTAATAATATATAAATGTTTATATGCTCACCCTAATAATGTTCAAATATAGATGTGCTCACTTTAATAATATATAAATGTTTATATGCTCACCTAAATAATATATAAATATAGATGTGCTCACCCTAATAATATTTAAATATAGATGTGCTCACCTTAATAATATATAAATGTTTATATGCTCACCTAAATAATATATAAATATAGATGTGCTCACCTAAATAATATTTAAATATAGATGTGCTCACCTTGATAATATATAAATGTTTATATGCTCACCTAAATAATATATAAATATAGATGTGCTCACCTAAATAATATTTAAATATAGATGTGCTCACCTTAATAATATATAAATGTTTATATGCTCACCTAAATAATATATAAATATCGATGTGCTCACCTAAATAATATTTAAATAAAGATGTGCTCACCTTAATAATATATAAATGCTTATATGCTCACCTAAATAATATATAAATATAGATGTGCTCACCCTAATAATGTTCAAATATAGATGTGCTCACCTTAATAATATATAAATGTTTATATGCTCACCTAAATAATATTTAAATATAGATGTGCTCACCTTAATAATATATAAATGTTTATATGCTCACCTAAATAATATATAAATATAGATGTGCTCACCCTAATAATGTTCAAATATAAATGTGCTCACCTTAATAATATATAAATGTTTATATGCTCACCTAAATAATATTTAAATATAGATGTGCTAACCTTAATAATATATAAATGTTTATATGTTCACCTAAATAATATATAAATATAGATGTGCTCACCCTAATAATGTTCAAATATAGATGTGCACACCTTGATAATATATAAATGTTTATATGCTCACCTAAATAATATATAAGTATAGATGTGCTCACCCTAATAATGTTCAAATATAGATGTGCTCACCTTAATAATATATAAATGTTTATATGCTCACCTAAATAATATATAAATATAAATGTGCTCACCCTAATAATATTTAAATATAGATGTGCTCACCTTAATAATATATAAATGTTTATATGCTCACCCTAATAATGTTCAAATATAGATGTGCTCACTTTAATAATATATAAATGTTTATATGCTCACCTAAATAATATATAAATATAGATGTGCTCACCCTAATAATGTTCAAATATAGATGTGCTCACCTTAATAATATATAAATGTTTATATGCTCACCTAAATAATATATAAATATAGATGTGCTCACCCTAATAATATTTAAATATAGATGTGCTCACCTTAATAATATATAAATGTTTATATGCTCACCTAAATAATATATAAATATAGATGTGCTCACCTAAATAATATTTAAATATAGATGTGCTCACCTTGATAATATATAAATGTTTATATGCTCACCTAAATAATATATAAATATAGATGTGCTCACCTAAATAATATTTAAATATAGATGTGCTCACCTTAATAATATATAAATGTTTATATGCTCACCTAAATAATATATAAATATCGATGTGCTCACCTAAATAATATTTAAATAAAGATGTGCTCACCTTAATAATATATAAATGTTTATATGCTCACCTAAATAATATATAAATATAGATGTGCTCACCCTAATAATGTTCAAATATAGATGTGCTCACCTTAATAATATATAAATGTTTATATGCTCACCTAAATAATATTTAAATATAGATGTGCTCACCTTAATAATATATAAATGTTTATATGCTCACCTAAATAATATATAAATATAGATGTGCTCACCCTAATAATGTTCAAATATAAATGTGCTCACCTTAATAATATATAAATGTTTATATGCTCACCTAAATAATATTTAAATATAGATGTGCTCACCTTAATAATATATAAATGTTTATATGTTCACCTAAATAATATATAAATATAGATGTGCTCACCCTAATAATGTTCAAATATAGATGTGCTCACCTTGATAATATATAAATGTTTATATGCTCACCTAAATAATATATAAGTATAGATGTGCTCACCCTAATAATGTTCAAATATAGATGTGCTCACCTTAATAATATATAAATGTTTATATGCTCACCTAAATAATATATAAATATAAATGTGCTCACCCTAATAATATTTAAATATAGATGTGCTCACCTTAATAATATATAAATGTTTATATACTCACCCTAATAATGTTCAAATATAGATGTGCTCACCTTAATAATATATAAATGTTTATATGCTCACCTAAATAATATATAAATATAGATGTGCTCACCCTAATAATGTTCAAATATAGATGTGCTCACTTTAATAATATATAAATGTTTATATGCTCACCCTAATAATGTTCAAATATAGATGTGCTCACTTTAATAATATATAAATGTTTATATGCTCACCTAAATAATATATAAATATAAATGTGCTCACCCTAATAATGTTCAAATATAGATGTGCTCACCTTAATAATATATAAATGTTTATATGCTCACCTAAATAATATATAAATATAGATGTGCTCACCTAAATAATATTTAAATATAGATGTGCTCACCTTAATAATATATAAATGTTTACATGCTCACCTAAACAATATATGAATATAGATGTGCTCACCTAAATAATATTTAAATATATATGTGCTCACCTTAATAATATATAAATGTTTATATGCTCACCTAAATAATATATAAATATAGATGTGCTCACCCTAATAATGTTCAAATATAGA